GTAGAGAGGTAAACCCAACACAACAGAACAAGAAACCTGATTTTTAAATGAACATTAAGATACATTCCCTGTTCCTTTTTGTCCTCCTGATTAGAGAGTATATAATATATATAGTCTTGATATATTATGTACTCATATATATGTATATATATAGTATATATTACAACTACATAATCTTCCTGATTATATAGGAATAAATGAAACTTTTCTTTAAATGATCAATAGTATATATCTAAAGCCAAGAGCTAACATGATATGTAATGGAGATACTAGAGTTCTTTTCAATAAAATCAAGGGTGAGACAAGGATGTCCAATGTCACCACTTCTATTTGACATGATACTGAAATTATCACTTTCTTTGCAGATGATAGGATAGTATACTTAAAGAACCCTAAAGATTCAACTTAAAAAGTAAATGAATCAATCAATTATGTCAGCAAACTTGCAGGATATAAAATAAATCCATACAAATCATCAGTATTTCTATATAATACCAATAAAACCCAACCAAAAGAGATAGAAAGAGTAAATTACATCTAAAATTACTACAGAATGTATAAAATATTTGGGAGTATTGCTTTTAATATAAACAGAAAAACTATACAAATACAATTACCCTCTGTTTACAGAAATACAGATTAGAAAAATATTAATTGCTCATGAGTAGGACAGGTGAATACAATAAAAAATGACAATACTACCTAAATAAATTCCTTATTCAATGCCATACCACCAAAGGATTACTTTTAGAACTAGAAAAGAATATAACAAAATTCATTTGGAGGAACAAAAGATCAAGACTTTCAAGAGAAATAATGAAATAAAGTGGGAACCAAGTGGTCGTAGCCATGCTACATCTCAATCCATATTATAACAGTAATTATTAAAACAATTTGGTAGTGGTTAAAAAAAAAGTAAAGAACATCCTTCAGTGAAACATATTAACTACACAACATACAAAAGCAAATGAATCTAGTACTCTCGAACTCAATAAACAAAAAGACCATAGCTACTGAGATAACGACTCACTATTTGACAAAAACTTCTGGGAAAATTGAACAACAGTATGGAAGAAACTAGATTTAGACCAACATCTCACATATTATACCCAGATAAGCTCCAAATGGATATGTGATCTACATATAAAAAGTCACACTATAAAGAAATTAGAGGAACATGGAAAAAATTATCTATCACGTCTATGGATATGAGAAAAGTTCATGCCCATAAAGCAAGAGAAAGAATCAAATAATTTTGATTATATAAAATTAAAAAGTTTTTAAGCAAACACAGTAAAACTAAGATCAGGGAAACAACTGGGAAAAAATCTTTACAGCAAGTTTCTCTTATGAAGGTCTCCTTTCCAAGATGCATAAGGAACTAATTCAGATTTATAAAATTAAGAGCCATTCCTCAATTGATAAAAAGTCTAAAGATATAAACAAGCAGTTCTTAAGGGAAGAAACCCAAGCTATCTATAACCATATGAAAAAATGCTCCAAATCACTGCTAATTAGAAAAATGCCAATTAAAGCAACTATGACAGTCTACCTTATACCCATTAGATTGACAAAGATGATAAAAAAAGAAAAATAATAAATGTTGGAGTTGCTGTGGGAAAAGTCATATTAATGAACTGTTGGTTGACTTGCGAAAGACTACAACCATTCTGAAAAGCAATGTAGAATTATACACAAAAAGTTACTTAACAGTGCATGCTATTTGACCCAGCTATACCACTGCTAGATAGATGTCTACCCAAAAGAGATCAAAGAAATGGGAAAAGATCCTATATGTAAAAAAATATTTATAGCAGCTCTTTTTGTGATAACAAAAAACTAAAAATTAAAGGGACATCCATCAATTGGGGAATGGCTGGATGTGTTGTGGTACATGAATGTGACATAATACTACTATGCTATAAGAAATGGGGAAATAGATCATTTTAAATGTAAGTGGAAATACTTATATGAATTGATGCAGAATGAAATAAGCAGAACCAGAAGAACAATTTGTACTACAACATCCGTATTCCAAAACAAGAAGTTTTGAAGACTTTTATGAACTGATGAAGAATGAAATAAATAGAACCAGTAGTGCAATTTATGTAACACCGTAAAAACAAAGAAACCTTTGAAAGCTATAATTATGATCAATGAAATGACCAACTATAATGACCAGTGATGAAGCATATTATTCACTTCCTGAAAGAGAGGTGATATATTTAGAGTGCAAAAAAATTTTTTTGTATAAAGCCAAAAAAGGAATTTGTTTTGCTCAACTATGCATATTTGTTACAAGGAATTTATTTTTTCTTTTTTTTTTTTAATGGGTTGGAGGATGAGATGGAGAGAAAAGAGATTTCCATCAATTTTTAAAAATTCTTTGAATAGAAACAGGATACTATGGATATGGACTGTTACATCCACTTTTCAAAAAATTAAGTTTTTATTGATGCCTTTTGTTTTTTATGTCACCACAGTTTCCACTATTTCCCCTTCCCTCCTTCTAGTGAGCCAACCTATATAGCAAATAATATTTTTAAAGACAAAAAAAAGAAGAGGAAAAAAAATCACCATTACTGATCAATATATTGAAACTATATTCAATATACAATACTTGTGACCTCCCACTTCTGCAAAGGGGTAGTGTGAGTCTCTTCTCACTGTTTTCAAAAGAGGATCAATGGGTGATGACTTCCTAGTGAATTGGATTTAAATGAGAAAGAGTTGCACTCTCAGCCTCACTCTCTCTTCCTGAGACACTGAAGTCCAAAGGCAAGACAAAAGTCAGGACAACTGGCCTTGGTCCAGGATGCAGTGGATGACCTTGTCATCTTCGATATTTGACCACAGTGCCTGCTTTGTGGTATATACTTTCTTCTTATCAATGGCCTCCTTAGGATATTGGCCTAGTGTTGGAATTTCTGGATCAAAGTGTATGGACATTTTAGTCACTTTATTCACATAATTCTAAATTTGCATTCATTTTAAGATGAGGTGGATGTACTGTTGGTTTTGCTTAATTGTTGTAACAACATGAGACCTCTTTTGGATTGGGGATAAAATGTAATTGTAATATAAAAACAAAACATATGAATAAAACTTTAAAAAAAAAAAGGATAAAACAAAGGTTCTAGGCTATGAAGAGCTTTAAATGCCAAACATAGGAGTTTGTATTTTATCAAGAAGGTAACTAATCCACTGCAGCTCACTGTAGGGGGTGAGGACAGGGTCAAACCTACATTTTGCAAAAATCATTTGGGAATCTGAGTGGAAGATGAATTGAAATGGGGAAAAACCTGAGGCAGAGAAACCAATAAGAAGTCTATTGTTGTAGTCCAGGGGAGAGGTGAAGAGGGTCTGAAACAAAGTGATGGCATGCAAATGGACATTGGGATTTAGAGATGTTATGAAGATAGAACAAGTACCCATACACCAAAGAAATGGAAAGTGTTGAAGCATATTGAAAATCTCACCTTATATCCCTGATGGTGAACTGGATTTAAATGAGGCATTCTCTCTCTTCCTGGGTCATCGAAGTCCAGTGGATGAGAGCAATGGCCCTGAATACAGTGGATGACCTTGGCATCTTTGATGTCTGACCAAACTCTAGGTGCCCCACAATACTTGCTCCAGCTGCCTTCATGGACACTGAACAATTTGAAACAAATTGTACTCATCCACCCATTCCACTAGGGGAACCTTCACTGCTTGGGGCAGACATCCCCCTAACTCATCAATGGGTCTGGGGCCTGTCCATTACCCTCCAACTGATTTAGCCCATCTTCGGAGGCGATTTACCAGGTTGAGGCTGCTGTGCTTGCTACAGCTCCTGGGAACCACAGGTGAGATTTGGGTGAATCAGATGGACACCAAAGGTGTTTGAGCAGCCCTGAAATACAGAGTGGTTAAGCTCACCCTATTCCATTCAGAGGGGATTGAGATGTTGATTGTGGGGAGGAAACCCCTTCCATTTTTGGGAAGAAGAGTCTTGGGAAGGTACTGAATTATTGTAGTTGAAGACTAACAGACTTATTCTGGAATGTTAACTCAAAACTGTATTTTAATATATTTTGATATTCTTGTTCAAAGCTCTTATGTTACCTCAGATTGACTTGGGAGAGATGCCAGGAGTCATGGGAGAGAGAGGAAGGGAAAGGTGGAGAAACCATCAGTTTGGACAGTTCTCCCTCTAGGTTTAAGGTCCTGGGCTTGGAACCAGGAAGACTTCATGAGTTCAAATCTAGCCTCAGACACTTACTAGCTGTGTGACCCTGGGCAGGTCACTTCACCCTGTTTGTGCCTCAGTTCCTCATCTTAAAACCGGCTGGAGAAGGAAATGGCAAACCACTCCAGTATCCTTGCCAAGACAACCCCAAACAGGGTCGGGAAGAGTTGGACAGGACTGAAACTACTCAACAACTCTCTGGGTTTAGGTTAGAAATGATTGGATTTTGAATGTTAAATAAATTGTTTCTGGCAGATTTGTGCCTCAAATGCAACGTATATTTTTAAAATTTTTAATTACTAATTCTATTAATATTTTTTCCTGGACAAAAGTTGCTTTGGGTTTTTTTTTGGTGGAGGGGAGAAGGGATGAGAGAAGGCCTCGTCTAGGTCTTTGGGGCAATGTTTGGAATGAAACGAAGGATTCTCAGAGACGGAAGTGAGGTGAGAAGGCACAGAGAAGCGAGATGGGGTGTCTATGATGGGAGGTGGGTAGGAGAGGGATCCCAAGGAGGTACATTAGGGTCCGGAGGAGGGAAGGCTGGGAATGACCGAAGCACAAGCGGCCAGCCCAACGCGACAGGCTGCGGGGAAACGACGCCCAGCGCCAAGGTCGCGAAACGCCAACCACGTCCGCGCTTGCGCACTTGCAATTGCTACCCTTTCGCGCCTTCCTTCCGCCTCCGCTCTCCCCCCACCCCAGTGCCCCTCCCCCCTCCGTCGGCTTTCCCTCGGGGTGGTAAGAATTTAGACCAACAAACGGGGTTGCGCTCTCCCGCGTCTCTATGGTTGGCGAGGCAACCGGAAGGGGAAGAAGGGAAGGAGGCGGAGAGAGTACGGAGAGGGGCTGCTGCCGCCACCCGGACCGAGGCGAGATGGCGGCCGCCCAGGTGGCGGCGGAGGCCGACATGGTCGCGGAGGGCTCGGCGGCCGGGGAGCCGGAGCAGCCCAGGCCGAAGCCCAAGACCGAGCCGGCGGCGGCTGCGGCTGCGGCGGCAGCGGCGGCTGTGGAGGCCGAGGAAGTGGAAAGCGACTCCTTCCCGGAGGACTACGGGCTGATGCGCCTCGACTCGCCCACCTACGTCCTGTACAGGTAGTGGCCCCGCGGCGGCGGGAGAAGCCCGCACCAAGGCCGCCTGCCCCCCTGGCGCCTCGGGCTCGCTTCCCTCCGGGGCGGCGGGGGCCAGCCCGGGGCCCGCTGCTCCCTCGGGGCCTCCCCTCGGCTCGGACCCCGCGCATGTCTCCTCCGCAGCTTTCCGGCGCCTTTGGGCCGAGTCCTGCTGCCGGATCCCCCACCCCAGCCCCTGAACCGCTGCTCCCCTGCCTCGCTGCCTCCCAGCCCCGGTGCTGGAGGTGCCGTACGCCCCTCCTCCGTCCTCCGTGACCCCCCAACCGCGTCGCCCGCCCGTCTTGCCGCAGCCCCCCATCCCTCGATCTCTGCCACGCCAGTGGCCCCCGGCCCCCAGGCCCGCGGCCCGCAGGCTCGGCCGGCCTGGGCTGCTGCCCAGCTGCTGCGCTGTCAGGCCCCTGCAGCGTGCTCACACCCGCTCGCTCGCTCACTCCGGTTTTTGGAGAGTTAAAGGACTCTCCTGTTGACTCTTAACTCGGACCCTTTGGAACCCACCCATCCCAGACGCTGGCAGCAGTTTAGGATTGTGGAGTTAGAGTTGTAAGCCACCTCTGAGCCCACCTAGCCTTGTTCTCTGATTTTACAGAATAGGAAACTGGCCCCGAGAGAGTAAGGAATTACCAGTCACGCAGGTAATTGAGTGGCAGAAGTGGGATTGTAACTCGGATCCTAGGAGTCCGCCGATCTCCAGCTCCGCCACTCACGCTACTCTTTAGCTTGTAATTAGAGCCTTTTCCATTTTAGGATCCGTTGTCCTCCCCCACTCAGTAATGGTTAGTGCCATTTTTGTTGTTGATGTCTTTATTGGGCTAATCTTTTCATCCGTGTGGGGAGCTTGTGGTGAAGAGTAGTTTATCCGACCAGTGCAGCGGTCACACACAAGATGTGGCTGAGGTTGTGTTTGAATCCTGGGTCTTCCGGACTGAGAGGCCCGCTTACAAGGCCTCTCCTGCCGGTGTTAGTATCGTTCACGTTTTGTTTAGAAGGAGAAACAGGCTCCAAGAGGTGAAATGAAACTTGGCTCTGACTCTGAAGGGGCAGAGTGGAGATTCAGTGTCTCCTCTTCTGATTCCCAAGTTTGGTGCCTTTTCCTCCACACCAGCCTGCTTTCTAGTTGAAAACAACTCTGATCCTTCTGGTGTGTTTAGGGGTAATAGGTGGTGGAGAGAAGTCGTGAATACCCTTCATGGCCTCTGCTATTTTGGATAGGCCTCCGTTTTCCACACTCTTTTGGACTTCATTTCCTACCTGCCTTCAATTCATTTTCCAGATCATAGAACAAGGCCTGCTTATATAAAGGAAAGTTGTGTATTGGAGGGAAAGGAGCGGTAGAGTAGAATTGCATCTTCCTTGAGGACAGAAACGATATATTGGACTAGTAAACATCCTGTGATTAAGAATTCACTACCTCCTGAGAAAACATATTCCACTTTTATCCACATTTAATTGTTATCAAGTTAAGTTTTTCATTTTGTCCAGCTGACATCTATCTACCTTTTGGATCTTACATTGACTGGGCCCATTTCTGCCCCCTGGGCCCAAGCAACACTTACTTTAAAAAACAAAATAAATGGGGGCAGCTAGGTGGCACAGTGGATAAAGCACCTGCCTTGGATTAGGAGGGCCTGAGTTCAAATGTGGCCTCAGACACTTGACAGTCACTAGCTGTGTGACCCTGGGCAAGTCACTTTGCCCTGTTTGCCTTAGTTTCCTCATCTGTAAAATGAACTGGAGAAGGAAATGGCAAACCATTCCAGTATCTTTGCCAAGAAAACCCCGAATGGGGTCAAGCATAACTGAAACAACTGAACAGTAACAACACTTTAAAAATAAGTTTTTGTTGCCTTTTGTTTTAACACCACAGTGAATTCTTCCCCAAGTGAATGTTCCCTTGTACAAAGAAAAACAATTAAACCCTTTTATATATAATGAGCCTTCAGTGATTTGTCCTTAGTGACTGAGTATTTTCACTCTTTATTTCCTGCCCCCTGTCAGAAATAAAGGGAACATAGATTGCCTAATTCAGTTTCACCTAGCAAAGAGAATTAGCATAGATTGCCTCATCTTCTTTGGGTAGTTGTATTTAAATGATCTGAAAAGCAGATTGGGGGCAGATAGGAAAAGGATTCCTGCAGTGTCCTAAAGTGTGGAAAAAGGAGGCCTATCCAGAATAGCAGAGGATATAACTGATAGTCGCAATTTCGTTCCACCACTTAGACCCCTAAATATATCAGAAGGATCAGAGTTGGGTTTTTTTTGTTTGTTTTTTTGGCTAGGCAGTGGAGTTAAGTGACTTGCCCAGAGTCACACAGCTACTAAGTGTTAGGTGTCTGAAGTCATGTTTGAACTCAGATCCTCCTGACTCCCGGTGCTCCATCCACTACGCCACCTAGCTTCCCTAGAGTTGTTTTCAAGTAGAAAGTAGCTTGCTGAGGAGGAGGCACCAAATTTGGGAGTCAGGAGAGGAGATCTGGGATCCCTGTTATGCTCTGGCATTTTTGCATGCATGTTATGAATAATTAAAAATCAGCGGAAATGTTATGGAATAGGCATAAATTAAATGCTTTGCAGCTGCCATAAAACCTATAACCTTTGCCCTAGGAAGACTAAGCTTTTTTCTGGAAGTGTTTCCATTTTTTGTTGTTGTTCAAGGCCCTAGGTCTCACATCTTATACTAACTTAAGTGCTCCTAATGTCTGTCTCCCCATTCAAATGAGATAATATTTATAAAGCACTTAGCACAGTGCCTGGCACATGGTAGATGCCCATTGTGCAAGAGGGCAAAATTTCAGGATTGACTGGGTGTCAGAAAGCTATACTGTCATCGCCATTGTGGATCAGCATAAAAAGTTTGTGATTATAGTTTAGCTGTATGTAAAGATAAATTTGTTCTTATGGGTTAGGTAGTTCCCCCCAAAGATAGTATTAACCTTCAGTGGATGACATTAGGTAGTTTACAATAAACTCTGTGGTGTTGTGACTTTAAAATGTCAAATTTCTAGTAAATTGTTATTCCAAAGAAGAAATGCTGACTGAAGTAGAACAGAGTCTGAAGACAAGAGTCTTTTGAATTAGGGAAATCTGGTGACTTCTGATCTCAGACTGGTGCATTTAGATTCATTTCTAAATTAGAAGCTTTGTGTACTTGTTGCAAAGACTATCTGTTCTATTCAAAGAGCTTTCTGTGTAGAAAAGTTTTTATTATTTTTGTGAAAGAGAAGATAATTATGAATCCTAACCTTATTTGAAAATAGTATAAAGGCTTTAAGATGAGTAGTAGCAAAATGACAAGTTTTCTGTTCTATGGGATTTTACAGTATTTATGTTGAGGTGTCTATAAGAACTAATGTTTAATGAGAATAATATTTGTCATTCTTTAATCTAATAAACACCATAGTCCTTTTTCTTTCTCTTATCTGTCTGTCTTCAAGCACTGAAAAGAAAAATGTATATTTACAGGGACAGACCAGAATGGGCTGATATAGAGCCGGTGCCCCAGAATGATGGGCCAAATCCAGTGGTCCAGATAATTTATAGTGAAAAATGTAAGTTTATTTTTGACTAGTAATTGATGCACAAGTGAGGAAAATTTAATGGGCAAGTTGCAGTTTCACAGTTTTTGTGGGATAACTACAAAGTCAGATGTTTTCTAATAGCTACAAATAAGCAAATGCCATTAATTGCTTTGGAGTATATTTTATAGTTACTATTGTTTGTAAATTTATCATATGCAAGAAATGGATTGTTTTGCCATGTTAAAAAAGTTGTCAAACAACATAATCACTTGTCTATAGTTCGTGTTATCCTTCTTGTTTACTGTATGGACTACACAATTAAATATGTGAATGAATCCATATTTTATTTGATCTGTTTTTCACTTTTTAGTATTTCATTACTCCATTATAATGTGTGCTCAATAAAAAACACAGACTAGTATCATTTGAAGTATATACAAATGACAATGAATTCAGACCTACCATATTGATACTTAAATCACTTTCTTAATAACTGTTCCTCTACTTTTTAAAGATTCGGAAGCCATTGACCTTTCTGATCTACCTTGGTCAATTAATGATGAAATAGTACTCTGAGCTTAACCATTATTTCACTATCCAAAGACAAATTTGAGCCCTGTATGAAATCTGAATCTGTTGATCTGTTGTAACCAGAGTAGAACCTTGTTAACCACTAAAAAGAGTATTGTTTGTATTTGTCAGGTTTTTATTTGTCCATAGAACAAATACATGTGTGAGTATTTAAATAAGAGCTATTATATAAACTTCAGAGTAGGATTGTGTTATATAAGATATAGCACAGAGTGTAGAAAAGTAACGTGGATGTTATAGTACTGACTTTAAATGAGAAGGATATTTGTTTGTAATACTTTTGTATTAACTATTCTGTTTCTAGTTAGAGATGTTTATGATTATTTCCGGGCTGTTCTGCAACGTGATGAAAGAAGTGAACGAGCTTTTAAATTAACTGGAGATGCTATTGAGCTAAATGCAGCTAATTATACTGTGTGGTAAGTGATCATTTACATTGTTTTTAAGTGTTCAAATGTTTCATGCTCACTATATATGCCATAGCGGCATGTTGTCTAATTCTTTAACCTACAATCTCTGTACTTGGACAAGTCCTTTAATTTCTTTAGGCCTTGATTTTCTCATCTTTAAGACAAGGCTGTGGAATTAATGCTTCTAAAGGCTCAGTTCTGAATCTCTGATCTATATGTATTTTCATAGTTTGGAAAAAACTACAAAACCCTATTATAACTACATAACCCTGTTATAACCCAGATTTTAAAGTATACTACTCAGGTTGATTGTCATGTAGTTTGGGAATCTTTTAATGCTTTCCCTTCAAGAAGCTTACGTTATGAAAGCGAGATATGTGTGTGTATATAAAGAAGTACATAAAAAATAAGAGCAATTTAAATTGAGGAAGGAGGGCACTGGTAGCTAGGGGGTCAGAAAAAGCTTCGTGTAGAAGGTGGCAATTGAGCAGAGTTTTGAAGAAATAAGAGATTCTAAGATATAGAAGTGAAATGGGAGTTTATTCCAAACATGGGATAATCATTTCAAAGGCATAGAGATAGGAGATGGAGTATTGTGTGTGAAGACTTGCAGGAAAGCTATTTTGGCTACACCTTGTGAAAGGTGGGCAGGAGAAGAATATGTAAAGTGGTGTCATATCTGCCAGAAGCAGTTTAACATTAATCTAATATCCACGTATTTCTAGCTTGGAGAGATAATTCCCCAATACCCTGGGACGTATCTCTCTTTACCCTAAGACAATTTAAAGTAACATATATAAGAATCTTGACAAGCAGAAAATCATATGTTGAGATGCAGTTCTTCCTTGACCATTCCCCTCCAGGATTCTCCTGATGTAATCTTAAGAGACTTCCTGCCTCCGAGCAAAATTTTAAACCTTTTCGAATGGAGAAATAGACACTGCCCTTAAGTGTGCCCAGTACTTCTGGGGATAGGAAAGGATCTAAACAAACTAGGCAAGAGATATTCTTTGTTAGAAATTTAATTTCCTTCCTTAACCATTTTCTTAAGAAAGTCCTTTTGTTCTTGACCTAACCCATATGAAAGGACAAGTGTAGAAAGGGTTTTTTAAGCTAGAAAAATATTTGTTAGCATTTCTAGAGAAACTAAGAAGTAGTTTTTAATATACTAAGAAGTAGTTTTTAATATACTTCCACACTAGGAAGAGCGTAAGCAAAATTATTAAAATAATCTTAACATCTAAAATTTTGCTCTCTATCGTTTATGCAGAACATTTTGAATAATGAAGTTTTTGATGGTTGTTATTTTGGTGTAGGCATTTTCGGAGAGTTCTCTTAAAGTCTCTACAAAAGGATCTAAGTGAGGAAATGAACTATATTACTGCAATAATTGAGGAACAGCCCAAAAACTACCAAGTCTGGTAAGATAAGCAAACCTTTTGCTGTCTCCTTTGTATTGTAAAATTATTTTTCAGTGCTAAAGATCTTCTTTTAAGAGGTGGTCAACTTGGAATCAGAATACTTGGGTTCAAGTTCTAGATCTGCTACTTATTAATTGTATAATCATGGTCATCTTTCTTAGTTTGGCCTTTTGTAAAATGAGGAAAATACTACTCAGATTACATACGTCATAGTTTGTTATGAAGAAAATGCTTTATAAACTATGAAATGTTTTGTGAACCTGAACTATTCCTGCCATTTAATACTCTGAATAGATCTGAGATTTTTCTTACTGCAGTTAACTTCCTCTTCCTGTGCAGATCACCTGTGTAAGTAACTATGTACATACAAGGTATGTACCATGTAAATGTAAGGTAATCTCCAAGTGAAGGCACTATTGGCAGGGATACAAATGTGATTCTTAGCCATATTCCTCCCACAAGATCCTCTATAAGGGACACTCCTGCTCGGTAGACATTGCATGGGTCATGTTATAAAGGATAATAGTCCATCTGTTACCTTTGTTCTCATTATATGACTGGTTCCCACCACCTAATTAAGCATTTCCTGGATGTTACATTTTATGCCACTTCTTTCATGCAGTAATAATGATAGTAGCTGATATTATATAGCACTTTAAAGTTTGTAAAGCACTTTATATACATTATTTCATTTGATCTTCATTTTAAAGAGGAGGAATCTGAGGCTTAGGGGTTTAAGTGAATGTTTGTGGTCACATAATCTACTAAATGTTAGAGGCAGGATTTGGATGTCGGTTCATTGTTATTCCTAATCCAGCATTATTTCTAGCACACATCATTGTTGGCAATATGCTATAGCCTACTTATACCCACTTTAAGTCTTTATTGCCCTTCAGGTCACTTGTAATTTTGGTTCTTTGAAAATTGTGGTGTTCCATGATTAACAGCTATGTAGCATCCCAGAAAAATACTGTCATTAAAAAGCTGATTTTTTTCATATATATATATATATATATATATATATGTAGATGTATATATATATATATGTACATATATATATTTTAGGGATCATTGGGATCACTCGAAGTCCTGGGCATTTTCCTAATTCAATTCAAATTCGAATCTCTTTTTCCCATTCAATTCTGGACCCAGCTCATTGTTCAGTTAGTGTCGCTCCAAGGTAGATATTGATGGATTAGTTCAGCGGACTGCCCATCCATCTGCCTGTCTTATTCTGGGTGACAGCCATTCTTTGTCTACTTGTCTTTTCCTAATTGGATTGCTAAGACAATCTCTTTTGAGCGTTCATGAATTTCATTCAGGAGGTCCTGTAATATTCTGGGGTTTGATGTAGTCAGCACAGAATCATCCATAAACAGCAACATCTGGAGGACTTCAGCAACTCTAGGGAATTCCTCTTCCATTGGGATTCTATGCAAGATATCTCCAATGACAGGTGAACATCTTTGGTAGGCGCACATCTCCCCACACACATTACACCACCTCTGGCGTTGATAGAAGATCAACTGAACGAGCTCAGTGGCGCCCTCTGTCAAGGAGTCTCACATTATTTTAACATATGCATGGGAGACACATTATTGGAGGAGAGTGTTTACGGCTACATCTTATTACACTGAGTCACATGCTTTACTATAAATAAAGTGTAAACACAATTAAGAGGCATTATGTCATAGTGAATAGAGAGGTAGACTGGGAATAAGGAAAACCTCGGTTCAGATCTTGCCTCTGACCCATGCTAGCTGTGTGACCCTGGGCAAGGGACTTGACCTCTCAGTGTACACTAACTGGGTAGCTAGGACTAGGCAGCGAAGACCAGTCATTGATGTGTATTAGTAGCGGGAGTTTCTTCACAGAGGGTTCCCTCCATGGATGAATCACTGGTTTGAACCAGACAAACTCCTTACGTTTTCCTGAATAGATTGTTAGGATAATCTCTTATGAGTAGGTCCTGAATTTCACTCAAGATTTCAAGCTGGATATAGTCCTAGTAAGCCAAGTTGTTCATCAAATGACTGAGGTTGTGAACTGCTTTAGGAAATTGTGCAAACCTTGGTTCTTCTTTTCAGCAAGGATTCTTTTGATATGTGTATGTGTGTAGATTATTCTCATTATGAATTTATGGAGATGAAAAAGTCAGCATATTAGTTGGTATTTATTGATATCCCCTTGAATATTCTCTTGGGGTATTAATACCATCTATGACTCTTTTTCAGTCATTCAGGATCTTTCCAACTTTCAGATACCTTGAAAATTAATCCTTCAATGCTTTCAAAACAGTCACTTCCAGCACTTTTTTTTTCATGTGCCTTGGTCTGGTCCAGCTGTTCTTCCTAGCTTTATTTATACTGCTGTTCACACTTCCTCATGTAACATATTAGGCACTAAGGTATTAAGAAGCCACATGTGGTAGATGAATTGTCTGGAAGGTAAAAATAAGGAATTGTGGAAGCATTGGCATATTTGATCCATTTTTTGTTTTTCTAATTTCTTCTGTAAATTTTCTTAGGATGATTCTGCTTAAGTAGGTTTTACTCCAAATTTTCTGAAGATTTTTTCCCTTCTTATTGTATAGTATAGTATAATCTGTGTTCTGTATGTATATGCTTGTATGTTTCCTGTTATTTTTATGTATATGCATGCACATACATATAAACTTATATAGTATGATTGAGAATTATGTATTCTATTGTACTAATGTTTAAATATTTAGCATATAAACATACCTTTCCTAGTATTGTTAATTGGTTCTATGAAAATATAATTCATTTCCCTATTATGTTATGAGAGTGGTTCCATAGAAATATTATAAATGTTTGATTGTGCAGCTATTGCCAAAAGGTTTGGTTGCAGGTATAGGTGTTATTAAGAAAACAACTCTGGTCAAGGCATTCTTATGGGAAGGGTGCCTGTGTAATAAAACATACTGAGCAGTACACATCATTTAATCTTTCTTTGATACCATCAATAGGCACTTTAGAATCTTACTGTTCTACTAAGGTCCATAATCATGGCATAATTTGACAGAGAGCAGGATTGTAGGTTGATAAATGTTGCTGTTGTATAAAATGCCATATAACCCCCTTTACTCCATATATATTTTCTATTTACTTGTATTTATAAATATTTTTAATAAAGAAAACTTTTGGTATTTTTGGCATAAATTTGACTGGAGATTTCTTTTACCTTCAATTGAGTGACAGCTCATATTACAGAATATAATAGCAAGCTAAAGTTCTCCTGCCACAGCAACTAGCTGGGAATTGAACAGGATGTCCTCTGAAGTCCCTTTCAGCTCTGGATCTATGATCCTGTGACCACTTAACTGACAGTTGAGTTCTGTTCAAGATTCCCTAATTCTCCCTGGACTTGGTGGCAGCAAATCGAAATTAAAATCTTTTAAAATCTATGAGAAGTTGTTTATATTTATTAACCACATACTTTTCTATGTATGAAGTCTTACACTACATCCTAGGGAAGATACAGAATTAAACATTGTTTGAGAATAAAAAGAACTTGTAATAATGTTTGACCAGCCTAAAGCCAGCCATATTAATTTCAGTGTGCTAGTCAGTTGGCCCTGAAAGTTGGAATTGGTTTTTAATCAAGTTTTCTTGATTAAATTCTCTGATACCACTGTCAGGTTATAAATTCTGGAAAGGCAAGCAGTATATTTGCCAAATTCTTAAATGAATGATTCCTAACCAGACCAAGAGGCTTGTTGTATAGTTTTATTGAAAGTAGTAATGACTAATGGGAAGTGTTGGGAGTCTTTTTTTTTTTAAATTTTAAGAAATGCACCATTACGGTTGTACCTTCTACCAGCGCAGACTGCAACCCCTTTATAGGCCATTTCATGAGTTATTATAGCAAAAACAAAACAAAACAGTACCTAGTGTCCATCTTTCTGTTATATGGAGCTGTAAGAGTATGTGTTTTATTATTTTCATACAGTACCGCATTAAAATCCATGTCAGTTTTCTCATGACAGCCTTTCTGCTTTATTGTAGCTTAGTAACTTTACTGAACCCAACTGAAAGTCCAGAAGTATGTTCCAGTATTCATAACAGTACTTTTTGTAGTAGCAAAGAACTGGCCCCATCAATTAGGGATTGGTTGAACACACTGGTAGATGAATGTAATGGAATATTATTGTAGAGTGAAAAATAACAAATATAAAGAATTCAGAGAAACATTAAGAGATTTGTAAGAACTGTTGTTAAGTGAGGTGAACAGAACCAGGAGAATGATATACACAAAAACTTATGTAAGTGGGAGTGGGGAGAGCAAAATGCTTGCTAAATTCTGAGTAATTATAATGACCAGTCTTGCTCTGGGACAGTAGATGATGAAACACGTCTCTCATTTCAACAGTGGGGGAGGTTACAGTTAGAAAATGTTAAATACTATTAGATGAGGTCATTGTCGGTTGGTTTTGCTTGACTGTTTTGCTTTGTTACAGGGGAGAGTTAGCTGGGGAGGGGGCATTTGGGGAAATGACTATATCTAGAAGTAATTCATGTAGAAACAGAAGGCATCTGGTCAAACTCAGAAAGAAAAAGCCCCTTACTGAACTTCCCACTACTCTACATGCCTTACTTTGTCTAGTTACCGAGAAACACTTCTCAAGAGGTTTATGATGATCTCTCTGGCTAATGTATTGCCATAGTCATTCTCTGCTAATTCAAGTTCATCCATTCTTTGGAGATTTAGCTCTAAGCTCCCTCAGGCTTCCCACACTGATCTTTTCCTCATTTGTATTACCTGACTCATAAATGGTTTGTACTATGCCATCTGTAATTTGTATCAATCCCTGAGGTGATTTTAATATGTTTTCTTCTCCTTGGGTATTGTTAGCTCCTTGAACTCAAGGGCTATGATTTCTTCTGAAGACAGTGCTAGGTATGCAGCTGGGTTTTTAATTGTTGTATCAAGCTTGGTGACTTGTGCCTAGAGGGTGTTTAACAGTTGATTATTGGGGGCAGCTAGGTGGCTCAGTGGATAGAGCACCTGCTCTGAAGTCAGGAGGACCTGAGTTCAAATCCAGTCTCAGACCAAACACTTGACGCTTATTAGCTGTGTGACCCTGGGCAAATCACTTAACCCCAATTGCCTAATAAAAATAAAATTAAAAAAAAAAGAATTGATTATTAAATTCACTTAATATTAAGCAATGTTTGTCTCATTTATTTGGGACTTTAGGCACCACAGGCGAGTATTAGTGGAGTGGCTAAAGGATCCGTCTCAGGAGCTTGATTTTATTGCTGATATTCTTAACCAGGATGCAAAGAACTACCATGCCTGGCAACATCGACAGTGGGTCATTCAGGTACAGTCTTCTCTGTTGTTTGTTATAACAATTTCAATTCACATTTATAGAGTTGCAAAGTGCCTTGCCTGTATTATTATCTTAATGTAGAATCTAGAGTTTGTCTTAAAATAAACTCTAAAATTTAAGTTTTATGCTTTTGAAGTAAAACATACAAAGTAATTTCCAGATAGTTTGGATTTTCTAACATGCTTGTTTAAGTCTTTTAAAAAAGAAAACCTTTAATATTGGTCAACTTTAGGTTTTCCTTGGAAAATTATGCTAATAAAATAACTGTAAAATTATCACAATTCTGTAGGTTGAACTTGAATATGTTGATATTAAGTCTGTTTGTTAGTGAATAATATATCCAAAAGGTGCTAAACAAAGTAAAACTTGATTTGAAATTTTTTTTAAAAAAAACCTACACACAATTTATTTTGAATTTAAAATGTCATGAACCTTTTACAAGTACAAAAGAAAGCAGAAAAAGTCATGGAACAAAAAAGTGTCATCGAAACTTTTCTTGGGGAAATATTTCATATGTGACTGCCTGTTAATGATTTCCCCAGTACAGAGTGAAACTTTATTTCAAATACAGACAATTCACAGAATATAGTGTAAATTAAATATTTAGGCTTTTGGACATGTTCTTTAATAAGAGCATAAATTTAGAGTAATTCCTTTTTCCCCAACAGTGGCCATTTTTCCTATTCCTAAGTTAAAATTTAATATTAAATAGAAAATAAAGAGTAGCAATATCATATGCTCTGAAAAAATGATATAACATAGCATACAATGAAATTGTTTCTCTAATAAAATTTTTCCCATAAATGCTGTTTTCCTTACTTGTTTTAAGAAGTAAAAGATCTTTCCTCTAAAATTCCAGGCTTCCAACCAAGTTAGATTAGAGTTGCCCATTATTACTTTAATAATCCTTTTTCAGAGGCATTTAAGAGGACTCAGCAAATCACTCAGTTTAGCTAAATGCCCTACTTAAAACCATCTTAAAAAGTTTCAAGGGTGATAATTCCAAAGCCCCATTGAGATTGTCATATGATTTCAAGATTCTAAAAACTGAGTACATGTAATTCTTTTCTTTATTTTTGAATCTAATATATTTGATCGAATTTGTACGAAGTTAATCATCACTTTAAAAAAAAGGAATAATTTCACAAATGATTGGCAAATAGTTAAAATAAAAACAGTAAACTTTTAAAAAAAAAAAACTTTATATGACTTTCCACATAGAAAACCTTAGTTTGAAATAGCTTGACCAGTCTTTGATGTTTGTTGTACCTTGTTGAAGCTTTTTCTGAGGAGCTATATTGTATAATCATAAGTTTAAGGGAATATAAAACTTAGCTTTTCACTAAAATTAGTATTGCCTGATGTACCCACCCAAGTCTATTTTAAAATGAACTTTAACACTGAAATTATTACTTGACTAGTTTGCCAATTATTGAGTCAAATAAAAATCCAGCCTTTTATCAGTTCTTATTTTCTTCATCCTCTTCATAGCATTTAATACTGTTAACTTCCTACTCCTTAAAATTCTGCTTCCTTTGGCTTTTAAGGAACTGTACTTTTCCTGGTTCTTCTTCAACCTTTGTGTTTGCTTCCTTTCAGTCCCCTTCCCTATTTCCATAACAGCTCAGTGCCTCAAACATAGTAAGTACTTAATAAATGCTTGATGACTGAACAACCTGACTGATTGTTCCTCTTATCCTTTGTATTTTCCTAGGCTCCCCAATCCTCTTTTTTATTTAAAAATGTTTTTTATTCTAAACTTAAATACCAAAAAATAATATTTCCATATAGCACAATACGTAATAGAAGAGAGTGAATAGAATCATGTTTCTCTTTCATACCCTTTGCTTTTTGCTTTTTTTTTTTTTTTTTTTTGAGAAAAGCATGTAATAAATGTAAACATCATTTTCAAAACTATCCTGCTTGGCTGCCCTTTCCTTTGAATTTCTTCCTTCTGTTCTCCTTTGCATTTTGGGGGGAAAAAAGTTTCAGTGGTCCTCTTTCTTTCCTTCTTTCCTTTGCATCATTATTACTACTTCTTCTCTCTCAGCTTGCCTCCCTCCCCTCATTTAAAAGCAAAAAGAAGAAAAAACCTTAACAAGTAGGCATAGTCAAGCAAAACAAATCCATATCATGGCCATAGATAATATGTCTCTTTTTGTACCTTGAGTCTGTTGTGTCTCTGTCAGTAGATGGATTACATGATTTATCATAGTTTCTCCTGGGAGGCATGTTTGATCACTGCATTGATCAGGATTTTTAAGTATTTCAGAGTTGTTTTTCTTCACAATGTTGTTGTTCTTTTAGATTGTACTACTGGTTCTGTTCACTACTCTGCATCAATACATATTACCCAGGATTCTCTGAAATTTTTTTGGTCATTTCTTATAGTATAATAATATTCTATTACCTTTATATACCACAGTTTGTTCAACCATTCCCAAATTGATGGGGACTCACTTAAATTCTAGATTTTTTCTGTTTTTTTTTTTCCACCTTTTAATCTCTCTTTTGGGATCAAGAAGTTCATTTTGTGGCTATTTCCTTCCAGGTATCCTTTTTCTTATCCACTTCCCAACCCCAATTCCATCCCAGGCTTATATACTTGTTGAGTTTGATGTATTTCTACACCAAACTGTAGGTGTGTGCTCAACCCACCTTTGTTAATTTGAAATAAGAGTGAGGCTTATCTGAGTTCTACTATTTCCCCCCCCCAATATAATCTTCTCATACCTCATTAAGTTCTATCCCCCTTCTTCCTCATTCTGTACTAATATATTTCTTTTACCTTCCCTTCTACTACTCCTTTTCAAATACACAGAATGGAGCCAGTTCACTCTCACATCCTCTGCTTTTAACTCCCTCAAATATCTTTTAAAAATGTTATGTTTCTGAAGTGACATTTATTTCTTCTCCCACCCCACTCTTAGAATTTTAGCTTTCCCTTATTATACAGCCCCTTCCAAATGCTCAGATAAATTCACTTTTCTAAGTTTCTCTGGACTTTTTTATTTATATTTCAGTGTTCCTACTCAGCTCTGGTCTTTTAATCAGAAATGTTTGAAAGCCCTCTTCCATTTAAGAGCTCTTTTTTTTTTCCCTGTAGGATTATACTCAGTTTTATAGAGTAAATTATTCTTGGTTGTAAGCTTTTATCTTCTCCCTTTTGTAGTACTATATTCCAAAATTCATCCAAAAATTCCAAAAAGCTGCCAGGTCTTGTGTGATTCTGATTGACTTTGATATTTGAACTGTTTCTTCCTAGGTACTTGTTGTATTTTTTCTTTAATGTGGGAATTTTGATATTCCTGGGACTTTTCATTTTGGAGTTTGTTTCAGGAAGTGATTAGTATATTTCTTCTATCTTCACCTTGCTTTCTGGTTCTAATAATAGATCTGGGCAATTTTTATTTATGATTTCTTGAAATACATTGTCCAGGCTTTTTAAAAATAATGGTTTTCAAGGAATCCAGTGATTCTTAAATCTACTTTTCTTGATCTCTTTTTGGTCACTTTTTTTAATATTAGAATTTCTTCAACTTTTTTCAGTGTTTTGATTTTGTTCTAATATTTCTTGCTGACTCATGAAGTCATTGATTTTTGTTTGACCTAATCTAATTTTCAGGGACTACATTACTTAGGTAAAGTTTCCTACTGTCTCTTCTAAGCTTTATTTTCCTATATAATTCTATATTTTCCAAGTACAATCTGTGTCTCACTTCTAATTATTTACCTTTGAAATTTTTTAGATTCACTTTCTCTCTACTGTTGCCAGCCTAGTTCACACCTTCTTTATGTCATGGAGGATTCTGTGGATTATTACAGTAGCCATCTAGCTAGTTACCCTTACTCATCTTTCTGCATTTTAATCCATTCGTTACTATATGCCATGTACCTTATACTAATCTTCCTAAATCCTTATCTTTATATGTCACTTGTCTTACCCAAGAACCTACAGAGAGCCTATACTGTCTACCACATCAGGTCCAAACTCTTACTTTAAAGCTTTCCCTCCATCATCCAGTCCATTTTGCCTAGCAAGCATTTTATCCCATTACTTTCTTAACAAACCGTCCAACCTAGTTCACAAACAAATAGCCAGATCCATCTATTCTTCATCCCCTTTATTTTTATTTTATTTTTGGAAGCAATCAGGGTTAAGTTAGTTACTTGCCCAGGTTTATATAGCTAGTAAGTGTCTGAGGCCAGATTTGAACTCAGGTCCTCCTGACTGGAGGGTCAGTGCTCTATCCACTGTGCCCCTAGGTGCCCCTTCCATTCCCTTTAATATTTGAGTTTCCCCACCTACTATCCCCTTTTCCAACTCTCCTACCCCCATCAGTGCCATTTTTCAATATTCAATTCAAACGTCCTTTTTTCTGTGTGAAACTTTCTCCAGCTAACAACCCCCCTCCCCATTTCTCTGTTCTCCAAACACATATTGCATTGTGTGGAGGCAAATGAAAGAGCACATTGGACCAGAAGACCTGGGTTTGAGTGCAGCTTCTGTCTGCCACCTGTTAGCTATGTAACTTTGAGCAAGTTGCTTAACATTTTTGGATCTGAGTTTTCTTATCTGTAAAATGGGGATGTGCAACCACCCTCACTTGGTTATTGTAAAGATCAAATGAAATAACTTGTGAAAGTAGTTTGTAAACTATAAAACACCATCCATATATAAGTAACTATTGTTTCTGTAATGATCTTATTTGTGTTTAAGGAGAAGGGACAGTTCACAGTTAAAAGCAGCTTGCCCGGTTATAATTTATTGATGTTTAAAACAAAGGTTATAGCAAGGACATAGGCCACTTTGGTCCCCTTTGTCTTCATTCAGGCCTGCTACAGCACTTTTGAATTCTATCCATGACCTGATCAAATCTGCCAACACTGCTGACTGACCCGAATGGCTCCTGAACATTGGAGTTTAAGCTTTTACTCAAGCAAAGGAAACTAGAGCACTTTACAAACGCATCATTGTAGGATAAGGAGACTTCTGGCACCTTTGATAACATCGGACCTAAGTAAGCTTATTAGATAAGGATGCATACAGGAGTAGGTAACATTACTTTGGTGCTCAATAGTTAGTAGGTTGTTTAATTCATTAGTTATGCTAGTTGTTTCTGGCCATGTTCCTTCTTCCTTCCTCTAGAGGAAGGATGCCTAGACTGACCAGACTGTATCAGTTATTACTTTTACAAAAGTACAGACCATACCATAGAGTTAGTTCTTAGTCCCCTAATTGTTAGTCTTATCTAACAAAACAAAGTCTTAGAACGCAGGGGCTGTGTTTTATATTTAAATTCCAATTCACATAGTATTTATCATAATGCTGGGCACATAGTAGGCGATAAGTACATACCTATAGATTAGCCGAAGTCAAAAGAATTATGGAATCGATTTATTCATTATTGCCCTATCCTGGCAAATTTGTAAATTTGAACTGAAGCTGAGTTAACATGCTGCCCTTCTCTGTTTTCCTTTTGGCTCTCACCTAACAAAATTTCGATTTCAAGAAGAGCCTTTTAAAATAAAAAACTTTGTCTACTTCCTACTCCCAGTAGAGATGTGAGCTAGAAAGGAGAATTAGAAAGGATGAAGGCAGCTTTCCTCAAAGGTGAGGCTAGAAAAGAATTACTAATCAGGGCAATGAATTGGGAAAGAAAAACTGTTTCTTTTGAATTTTATCTGCATTGTAGGCTTCTTTTTGTTTGAAATATTGACATAATTGAATTTAGACATTTTGGAGTTTTCTAAGAATCCCTGATTCCCAAAATAAAAGGGTTAGATCAGAACATCTCTAAGGTCTCTTCCAACTTTAAAAATTTTACTCTTCATCACTATTAGGACAATCAAAAGTTAACTAAAGTTTATATTTATACAATGCAATTTATATTGAAGTAGCTAGACTATTAATGATGAATTTTTTTCTTCAAAAAAAACTTGTTCATTGTTATCTCTTAGTAAGGCTTATGATTTTGAGTAATCTAAAATTTTAAAAAAATGCATATCAAGTATAGTAATCATGGAATTCCAGATTTGTCTCTCTTCTTTTTTTCTCTCTAGGAGTTCAAGCTTTGGGATAATGAGCTGCAATATGTAGACCAACTTCTCAAAGAAGATGTGAGAAATAACTCTGTCTGGAACCAAAGACACTTTGTAATTTCTAACACTTCAGGCTACAATGATCCTGCTATCCTGGAGAGAGAAGTCCAGTTAGTATACTTCTGGAGTGACCAGTTACATTTGTAGTTTTTTAAACTTCTTTTGGTGTCATTACCACAAGAGAAGTCATATTTTACTGGTACCCTTTGGCTACTTTAAAAGTCTGCTAAATTGCCTCCAGTGCCTGTAATAGAGGCAGCATGATGTGTGGTGATGATAGAGCATTGAGTGTGGAGCAGAAAATCTGGATTCAAATCCTGCCTTGTGATACAAGGGACTTATACCTTAACTTCTATGAGCTTCAGTTTTCTCATTTGGAAGACAGGGTTAATACAGTGTTACAGTGATGGGGTTCAAGGAGATATGTCAAGCACTTTTTAAATGGGAGCTCTTATCAGTAGAATATAAGCCCGTTGAGATCGGGGACTACCAGAGGATAAGAGATCTAAAATTAGAAAGGAACTCAGGCTATTCTAATCCAGTCCTACATTTTAAAGATGAGGGAACTGAGGGGAAATGACTTGCGCATAGTCCCACAGATAGCAAGTATCTGAGGTGGATTTTGGTCCTCTGACTTCAGACACAGTGAATATTTTTTCCCTTCTACCATGCCATTACTCCAGTCCAGAGTATGAGCTAAATAAATGGTTGTGGATGGATTATTTATTGATTGGTGTAGAGACATCCATAAGTTCTCAAAGGCTGTGGAGTACAACCTCTGGCAGGTCATACCAAATAGTCTGTTGTCTAAGGACCAGTCTAAGTCTTGTCACCAAGACTATCCTGGCTATAACCACTCATTAAACTATCTATGTAAGTCATGGAGGAATTACTGTCTGTACTGGTAGGGAAGGTACCCACAAGCGTGGAATCAGAGCTTTGAAATTTTGAAGCAATCATCAAATCATTTGACTTATGTGAATATTCCTCCCATGCACAAAAAATGTCAAAGCTAAGTACTACTTTGATAAATAGCACATTGAAGTAGCAGAGTATTTTTGGAGTTGGAATTACCCAGTTTAGTGGTAAATTTTATTTATACCCCTATAAGGTATCCATGACTATGGGTGGGGTAGCAAGCTCTTATCTTGGTTTTAGCTTTTCATTTTATACTTGAGTTGATAACTTGCTTTCAGATTTCTTTTTAAAATAAAAATTTCTGTCCTTTTTAAACCTAGTTTAAGGTAGCCAGTCATAGTCTGAGTTATAAAAGTTATTTCAGTAGACCTAAATACTATATAACCACCAGAAATTAATTCAGAAAGTATTTCTTCACCATTGAGAAACATTAAGTAACTATTTGTATGTTATTGTTTGGAATAGTCCTTCTGGTCTAATTATTTAAAGTCAATACTCAGTGAAATCAAATTGTTCTTAAAACTCAGTGGGAAGAGAGGAGTATAATGGATTCTAAATTTCAAAGTAAGACATTGAAAAGTTAGGTTTTGCAAAAATGGCTTTTACTTCTCGTCTTTCTGTTCCTTGCATAAGAACTGGTTCATAATTCTGCTTAGGGCAATTACCTGTTCTAGTGGACGATAATACTCAAGTCAGAGAATAAATGAAAATGTTCATATGACTCTGTAGGCCATTTCTAAAGCCCAGTGCTAATTTAAGTGCCTTGCTAATTTAAGTGTTATTTTTGTAAAACAAAATTTTAGTGCCGCATTTCCCTTGGAATTCATGGTAATGAGATTTGACCTTACTTTAATGCCTTCCATAGGTGAAAGAATGATGATGAGGGAGCTCTTCTTCTGGACCATTTTGCAATTTAATGCTATTGTTTTAATTTAAAAATATTTGAATGGATCTCTGATCTTGTTGAGTTGGGTATCCCCTTCAGTGGTGCAAATCACAACCTATCCATGCCTTCTCGTCCTGTGCGTTCTTTGCCTTGTCCTCTCATAAATCCTCTATAAGGGGGATAACCAAGAGATCCCTTCCTCTAGGTTTTGGGTTTTGGTTTTTTTTTCTCAACATTGTGTGGGTCCTTAAATCCTACTTGTATAATATTTTTTGTCGTCTCTTATGTATGTCATGGCTAGCAGTGTATATAAAGCTCTTTGCAAACCTTAAAGCATTACATAAATCCTAGCTGTTATTACATGGCCTTTTAGGTGATCCCAGCAATTTTTATTCTTCAGAGATGGTGTCCCATAATTTGCAGTTACATAGCCTCACCTAGTAGAAGTATATTAGTCTGAAAAAGATGAATTTTTGTGCTTCAAATTGTCTTTGAAAATGCCGTTCAGTTTTCTAAAAGCAATCCAGCTTTTTTTTTTCCCAATTTTTTCCCCCCTTATATTCAATTCTGGGTCCAACTCATTGTCCATCTCTATAGTGTCTACCTCCAGTGGAGCTCAGTGGGCCAAGCATATAATTGCATTTCATAATTTGGATAATGGGCATCCTTCATCTGCTTGGTTTTTTCGTTGTGGATTGTTAGGAATGAATTCATATTGTTATGGTCCTAATAAACACTAGTATTCTACAATTTGATGCAGGCAACAAAATATCAGCTAATAGGAGCTTCTAAAAAACCTTATGTTTTGCAGGAAATCCTTCTTTTATTTGGACTCTGCACATAGCTTCAGTGACTGTGGCAAACACACCTTTGGTGAATGAAAATATATCACCCTGTATTATGCCTTGCTTAATATTAATAGTCAGAGGGTCTTTGTGTAGATGATGACTACAACAAAGAATTTTGTGTATTGTCCTTTTATGCATGAGAAACACTTTGTTGGAGGAGAGCTTTCAAGGCTATATTTTGCTCTTTCTAATCAAATACTTTTACAATTATTAACTGAATAAGTAAACACAAAGTGATCTTGTATTCTCTACACCTTTTAGTTAGTTTGTATGACTGAAGATGTAGTCTGCCGTAGAATATTATTTGTGAAAGCCTACTTTTCCATTAAAAATATTCTTGATAGGTGTGCAGATGACGTTAGTAAAGATTTTATAGAAATAAAGTCAGAATATGGGTTAGTAATTATTGTCATCCTAATAAATGAAAAAAACATTTATTAAACACTCTGTGCTAAGCACTATCAATACAAATAGAAAAAATGAGAGTCCCTGCTCTCAAGGAGCTCATATTCTAATGGGGGAGACAATACATAGGGAAGATTTCAGCTGCAAGCCAGATGGGAAAGTCCCATGGTCCTTAGGGTGCAACAGCAAAACAGATAATAATGCCTCTTTTTAAATGTCATTTCCACTGATAAAATACCAGTTTTTGATGTTGAACCGTTTGATAGTGCCAAGGATTTGGGTAGCAAGAATGTTCTTTTCAGGATCTTCAGTATCTATGGTTATAGCGTCTGGGGTTGCTTTCCAGAATGGTGGCAGTAGGTACTGGCCTGGAAACAGTGCTGCTTCGAAAGCTGTTGTTTCTTGTTTCTGCAGAAAAGTCAAAGGCAAGATGATGGGAAGGTGGCAGTGGTGGCTCTACCTGCCCAACATATACTGCTTCCCATCTTTTCCTCAGAGTACTCCTTGACTTCAGCTAGGCTAGACTGCCTGTCCTTTGAGTGGCAGCCCATGGGGAAGAGTAGCCCTTGAAAGAGCCACTTACTTAGATGATGGCTCTGAGAATTGGCCTTGAAACAGAACCAGAGATCTGGAGGATGCCATTCGCAGGGCTCCTGTGCTTATTTACTTCTTGTTGGAGTTGGTGAGCTATTTTTACACATGATGATGAGAAAGTAGGGTCCCTTCCTCAAGGCTGTTTCTTCTGTCAGGGTTGGCTGTGGGGGCTGGTCTGGTGGTTTGGGGGGCACAGCTGTTCATAAGGTTCTTGGGTTCAGGATCCTGGGCTATCCATCAGGATCTGAGGAGATACGGCAGCCAAAGTAGAGGTAGTTTAACTTGCCTGGCACATAACACATGCTCTTTCCTTCTGGGTGCCCCTCTTCTTTGGCTAGGCTAGCTTGCCTGCCTAGGCAAGTTGTGAGTGGTAATTAGTGAGGATGGCTGACCTCTTTTCTATAAGAGTTACTTCCTTGGAAGAATGTTATGAAGCCTAGGCTTTAGGAAATAGGACTAGTGAGCTACAAGTATTGCTTCAGGGCATTTGTACTTATCTGTCTATCTATCTGCTGTTGCTGTTGGTGATAAGAAAAAAGGACTTCTTTCTCTACAATAATTTATCCCATCATTATCTATAATTTCTTGCAATTATTCCTTATCTTCTTAACCACTCCTTGGTGTTTTGAGACTTCCTCAACATTCTCAAAATTGTGTTGTCACCAGCACAGATTTCTTTTTGTATCCCTTGTCTGGTCCAGCTGCTATTTCTGTCTTCTTCTCCTTTAATGCCATTTCCCCTTCCTCATGTAGTACATTAGACACAGAGATGTTTAAGTTCCAAATACACCTGTTCCACTTCATCTCTTTGACTTTTCAGTTTCATTTTAAATGATCTTTGGATAATTTGTCCTAATTGATCTCACACCAAGCTTAGCTATGTGACTTTAAGGATACTGTTTAACCTGTTTTTCTCTCCATTCCTTCTTGCTATTTTATAGTGTAGTAATACTTTTATTCTACTATCCACCTCTGTAAAAATTTGCAAATGAGCCATATCTGACATGTTTTTCCATTTGACCCAAAGATTATGTTTTCTAACTGAATTAGTTTTTAGGGTCTTTACGCCTCCTTGGGGATCATGATTGCTTTACAACTGTTAAACTTTTTGAATAATGATGTTACACATCCATATCTTTGTCCCACTTAGCTTTTTTATATCAGTTGGTCAAGTTGGAACTAATTTGGTATTGATTTTCAGCTTTGCTCTAACAAGTGGATGAATAGTCAGCAATCAGAAGGTAGTCCACTGATCCCTGATTCAGAAATGACTCCATAAACCAATACCAGTTTCCTGTTTGTTAAGTAAGATAGCCATTTTCATTTCTTTAATGTCATTCAATTTACAATAGCCATTGCCTTCTGACTTTTGAAACTGCACTTCTGTGCAGTCTACAAACTCATAGCCATTTTTATTTCTTAATTTTAAATCATATTTTTTGCTATCCTCCCCAGGCCTGCTTTGTCATTGAAGTCACCATGTTAAGGTAGATATTGACTAAGTATAGAGGATCTATTTCCTTATCCTCTCTAATAGTTGTTGGTATGTAAGTTTTTTGTATTGTTTTTGGTTTTTAGATTTCATCCTTTTTGTTTTGTTTTGTTTTCATATCTCCTACATTTCCCCTTATGTTCTTTCCTTTCCCTCCCATTCCCAAGAAGCCATAAAAAAGATTTTATTTAACTGAGAGGAAAAAAAAATTAGTAAAACTGATTACAGTTTTTAGAACTCTGATGTCATATGCAGTGTTCCACACATATGAAGCCCAAGTGTGGGAGAGGTATCTTCTCTGTCTCTTTTTGGGACTAAGCTCAGTCTTTATAATTTTACAACATTGAGTTTTCATTATTTTCTGATGATGGTTCTTTCCATTGATATTGTTGTAGTTATTGTGCGTGTTGTTTTCCTGGCTTTGGTGTATAAGCTTTAATTATCTTCATAATGCTCATCATGGGTCCTATAAGGCAAAATGACCAAGTGTTTCCATAAAATGATGTTTTGTCTTGCTTTTGGATTCACAGTGAAACCAACTCTGCCAAACCTCTGCCAGATTCTCTCTAAGAACTTGTGGGTCAAACCAATTTCCTGATAGGGTTCTCTGATTTCATTTTTATATCTTCTTGGTCATTGGTCAAAGAGTTTCTATTTAGAATACCACCAGGAAAATTAATGTGTTTAGATGATCTATAAGCCATCCTTAGCACTTTCTGCTACTCCACTTTGGCAGGTGGCTGAAAGCTGAAAGAGAGCTAATGTAGGACACAGAAACATATTTTGTTTTTCAAGGGTTGCTAAGGCCAAAGAATTTACCACAGATGGCCAGTCTATTGTAAGCCTTTCCATTCTTAGGTTTTAAAATTTTTTTATTTATTGTGAGTTCAACAATCATAAACATCTCAAAATGTGAAGAGAACCATATGAGAAACAGAACTTCTACCATATACAGTGTTTTAGTTATTTTTAAACACATTTCTGTGCTTAATGAGGCAATTAGACATTTCTCTATTTTTGATCCCTCTTGCACTTCTTCCATTTGTGTAACTTATCAAATGTTTTAAGGTGCTCTTTTTATGTTTTTAAATTAAATTTTATTTTTCAGTTAGCAAAAATCTGCCCACTCCTACCTCCCACTTAAGAAGGAAAGGAAAACAAAACACCTGTTACAAGCATGTAAAATTAAGCAAAACAAATTTTCACATTGACCATGTCTGAAAGAAAAAAAAATGTATGTGTGCATGTGCGTGTCTCATTCTGCAATTTGAGTCTCTTATCTCTTTATCAGGATATGCTTCATCTTTAGTCCTCTGGAATTGTGGTTGGACATTACACTAATGGGAGTTGCTATCTTTCAGTGCTGTTTGACTTTACAATATTGTTGTCACTACACAAATTGTTTTCTTGGTTCTGTTCAGTTCACTCTGCATCAGTTCATGAGTCTTCTCAGGTTTCTCTGAAGCTGTCCCCTTCACAGTTTCTTACAGAACAGTAGCACTCACACTACGATGGTCATCAAGTACATTGATCAATCAGATGAACTCCCTTATAGGAAAAGCCTTTTTCCTTAATGGGCTGTATTGTAAAGCAGCCCTTTCTCATTCCTTTGATAGTCTTCTTGTGACAACAAAGTAGCCTGTGTCATAGCTTTTTCTTTTTACTTGTCAATTCTCACTTCATTCTATATCCGTTCATACAAGTCTTTTCTTGAAATCTGTCAGTTCTCTTTCTCTTCTTATTTAGCCTGGTCCTCAGGAAGCAGACAGTCTCTGGGAACATAGTCAGAATATTTCTAGAGTGGTAGCCTTCCCTAAGTTGGCATAGCCTCCAGGAAAGAATGCAGTGCACCAAAGAATGCACCATGAGGAATCAGGGTAGAACTTTTGGGCATCTTTAATCAATGACTTTATATTCTGAAAAGCCAGGTTATACATTTCCTTCTTAATACATAACATCAACAAAAGTATTTGTAGATTAATAGTAATTTATAAGTAATTTAGAGACAGTTACATGGTGCAGTGAATAGAGTACTGGACTTGGAGACAAGAAGACCTAAGTTCTCCTAAGTTCAAATTCTGCCTTAAACTTACATGGTTTGTTACCTGAGGCAAGACACTTAACCTCTCACCGTAGGGTTCCTCATCTCTAAAGTGGAGATAATATCATGTATTTCTCAGGGTTGTTGTGAAGATAAAAAGAGATGATATTTGTAAAGCTCTTTGCAAATCTTAAAGCAATATATATTTGGTGGGGAGGCAATCAGGGTTAAGCGACTTGCCCAGGGTTGCACTGCTAGTGAATGCCTGAGGCCAGATTTAAACTCATGTTCTCTTGACTCTGTCTAAGGCTGGTGCTCTATCCACTGAGCTATCTCGATGCCCCAATAGCTATTATTATTAATTAGTTTCACATTGACCTGGCTAATTTGAACATAGAACCATAGTTCTTCCATCTTCCTTCTTCTTCAATTATGTACTATGACCAAAAATAATAGTAAAGGTGAAGAAAAGTTAATTGGTGATATTGCTTTCAGTCCAGGAGCAGAGAGCATAATTACTCCTTGTTTCTGTTGTGATCTTCCTCCATATGAGGGAATATTCTGTTTTCTACTGTTCCCTGTTGAGGGGGCTATATTTGCCCCTCAGAATTGGCAGGAAATATGAAAAGAAAATGCATAAGTAAACATTATTTGATGATGCTGATCACTAGAATTTATATCGTAGTTTGATGACTGAATGTCAGAGAACTGTATTTAGGTGTGACTAATTAAGAGATACCAAAGGCAACTAAAAAATACGTGAATGAATAGGCAGGAGAGAGAACTAACCTTAACTTAAAGCTAAGTTGTTTGCCTAATTCCTAATTGTGTGATCTTTTCTAAGTGTTCATGCTCCTCTCTATTTCTCTTGTCAGATATACTCTAGAAATGATAAAAACAGCACCACATAATGAAAGTGCATGGAACTATTTAAAAGGGTAAGATGTTTTTGATTTGGGATTTTCATTTTGAAATTTAAGCACTCACTTTATCATTAATGATGATAACCTCTTAGCTTTTTAAGTTTACATACATGAAGTTTGGAATAAAAAATGTCTTCTAAATATAAAATTTTAAATATAAATTTAAATACGGATTTAATTTTTATCTAGAGCGTATACATGCAAAAATAGGACATGGTAAATCTGTTTTTCATTCAGTCAACAAGCATTTATTAAGTCCTTATTATGTGTCAGGCACTGTGCTAAGCACTGGGGATACAGATACAAGCAAAGACAGCTTTTTTCCTCAAGGAACTTACATTCTAATGGAGGGAGACAACACATAAAAGCAGGCTGTGAAGGATTGTTGGCCTGGGGCAGGAGGAGCTTACCCTTGGGAGAAATGGGCCTCTCTGAAAACTTCATTTTAACCTCCTTCCCCACCAGAATTCTTAGAACTGCTAATAAATAACACATGGTCAGATTGAATTAATTTAGCATTTCAGTCCAAAATTTCTTTTAACTTTTAACCTCTCACTTTTTCATTAACTGTGAACCAAAAGATAATCAAATGAACCCCCTAATAGGAAGTACCCTTGAAGGGCCATATTGTAAAGCAGCTCTTTCTTATTCCTGCTCTAGTCTTATGACTACAAAGTAGCCAGCAACAACGTTCTCTTTTCTTTTTCCTTGTCATTACACATTAGAAACAATTTACCTGAGGCCATCCCTAGATAACTAGCAGAGCACAAAGACTTTCCCTTGTCTTCATTTTGATTCTCAACATATTTTTTCTTTATTCTAGGATTTTGCAAGATCGTGGCCTTTCCAAGTATCCCAATCTATTAGAGCAATTGTTAGATTTACAGCCAAGTCACAGTTCTCCCTACCTGATTGCCTTCCTTGTGGATATATATGAAGATATGCTAGAAAACCAATGTGACAACAAGGAAGATACACTTAATAAAGCATTAGAGGTGAGCTAGTAGGACTTATATTCTATTCCAGGCAATCTGAATTCCATTCTACATCACTCCTGATACTTACGAATAAAGTCAGCACAGTTCAACTAACTTTTCATAGGAAGTCAGAACTCACTTATAGTTGGTTTGGGATAGCATCTTTCAAATTTCCTGTCATATAGACTTCTTCTAAAGCTGCCTTAGGCAGTGTTCTTGCCATCAAATCAATACCAGTGGTTTATGGTATTGTTCTGGTGCTTCTGTTTCATCAGTTTCTTTCTTCTACCAAAGAGGAAAAAATGCTGACATGTTAAAACTTGTTAACAGTGATGAAAGATTAAGCAACTGCCCTAAAATTAATTACTAGTAGGACCTGTTACATGTTGGCTTAGAGTAAATCACAGCACAGTGGGGTTGGCTGTAAATGGAATTATATCTTAAAGTATTACTGTTTTTCATTTCTAGTTATGTGAAATTCTAGCTAAAGAAAAAGACACTATAAGAAAGGAATATTGGAGATATATTGGAAGATCCCTTCAAAACAAACACAGCACAGAAGGAAGTTTGCCAACAGATAAGCAGCAATAACAGCATTCAGAAGACACTAATGGAATAGTTTTATTTTTAAAAGAAACTTGGAACAAGGAAGTGTGACATGGCTTAAAACCAGAGGGATCATTTCCTTCTACCTGTGTGGGTGTGTGACAACAAGTGCATTGCACAGGTATTGCTTCCTAACAAGCACTAAGCATAATAAGTACTCTTTGGGCACTGCTGCTATTCAAACTAACTCTAGAAGTATTAATTTGGCTGTCTTTTTAAAGTAAAATAATTCCTTAAAATAACAATCCCCAAATGAATTGTTGAATAATAAATATTTCCATGTTTGTTTATTTTTAAAGGCCCTAAACAGTCTGTTCTTTTCACCTATTTCTTACCACTCAGCTCCTTCCTAAATAATATATATGAATTCAGACTTGCAGCGGTAACAATTGCAGATAACTTGTATATTGTGGAGGTAACATAGACTATAAGCAAGGAACACAATTGCTGCAATACATTAGAGCTGTTACAGAAGCTGCACTGGTAATATCCTGCTATTGCTTTCACTGACTAAATGACAAAGTGATTTTGTAATAAAACTGTAGATACACCTAAAACAGTATGTAGTGGTGGTGTGGTATTTTGTTTTCATAGCATTTAACTAGTTCCCTCCTGAGCTTAAATCATGTCATCTTATGAACCAGTTGCAGGGGAAGTCCCATTGGTCTGGGGGTAAAAAAACACAGAACTGGAAAACAAGACCTTAAAAGATAAAGTTCCCAGAATTTTCTATTCCAGCCTCAGTAAGGTAGATTGGTTTAAATAAAAGTTTCCCCTGTTTTGTTCAAGGAAAGAAAATTCAGGATATGAAGATAAATAGTAATAGGTACGGCTGTTCTTTAGATGGATTATATACCTCAGGTTTTTAGTTAATGTATGGACTTTCATTTTAACATTTTGTATCTTAGTTTTTTAAAGTTTTTAAACTTAACCTAATTCCAAAAATCTCCAGGTTCCAATACAAATTCAGTTTAACTTGTTTTTAGAGTGTTTCAACGTTGAACTGGAATGATCTTTGTTTCCATGACTAAAGAGCATCTAGACAGAAATGTATACATAAAGAGGTAACACATATTGTATCATTTTAATAGTTGTAAGTAGATGCCATAACGGTATAATGCTGTGACAGTGCCCCTTAGAATAGAATGAAATTTTAAAAGACAGTCATCCATTGAATTTAAATGGGCAGACAATCTCCCTATCTCTTAATTTTCTTTACTATGTACATATCTATATACACAGAATATAAAAAAAGATTATATATTACGAAATTGTAACTCTTGTACACAGCTTGGTTTTTTAAAAATCTCTTAATTTTAGCAGAGTAATACACTGCCCTGCTTTTGAGTCTTTTATACTTCTTCCCTCTCATTTCAGCATATTTTTAAAATGTTTCATTGATGCTCCTTTATTTTTCTTTTTTTTTTGGTAGCATTATCAGTACTATCTCCATAATTATCTCCCTACCAAAAAAAGTCTTTCCATATAAGAAATAAAAATTAAAATCATTCAAATTAAATTTACATATTGATCACATCTGAAAATATAAGTCTGGTTCCATACCTATGGTCCATTGTCTCTCTACCAAGAAGTGGTAATTAAGCTTTATCAACAGTTTTCTGTAGTCATAATAGATCATTGTATTGATAATCAGAGTTCTTAAATCTTTCACAATTGCTGTCTTATACAATATTGTAGTCATTCTAGAAATTGTTCTGCTTCTATTCACTTTACTGTGCCTCAGTTCATACAAGTCTTCCCAGGTTTCTCTGAAACCATCCCTTTCATAATTTTAGGTTCAATAATCTGTTCATATGCCATAATTTGTTTGGTCATTCCACACATAGTGCGTACCCACTTTGTTTCTAGTTCTTTACCACTATGAAAGGGCTGCATTAGTGGTGAGCTACTAGGACTCATTTGCCTACATCCAGCTCCTTTGACTTCTTTAAACTATGTGCCATGTAGAAGTGGTATCCATGAGTCAAAAAGTATGCATAATTTAGTGAATTTGGGGAAATAGTTCTAAATTACTTCTCAGAATGGTTAAACCAATATATAGCACCACCTACTGAGTATTAGTGTTTCTGTCCTCCCAGAGCTCTCCAACAATTGTCATTTTCCACTTCAGTAATCTTTGCCTATCTGATAGGTGTAAGGGTAGAAATTTAGGGTTATTTTAGTTTGCATTTCTCTTATTACTAATGATTTGGAGCATTTTTCACGTGGTGGTTGATAGCTTATTATGTGTAGTTGTTAGCAGCTTCTTCTTTTTGAGACTTTGCCTGATCCTTTGACTATTTATCAATCAGGGAATGTCTCCTTATGTATTTATATGTGTGCTTCTGACTTTCTGGACTTGCAACACTGTGCTTCAGCTGCAGTTTCATCCTAGAGCCTCTGTCAAGACCTGTGACCTTCTTACCCTGGAATATCCATGCATCATTTCATCCTTCTCTCCTTAGAACATCCATCTGCCATGCCTTCTCTTCCGGGGAATTCCTCCAGGGGCCTCCATTTTGAGGAGCAAGTTAGGGCTTCCTTCCCCACTGTGCTTTTGACGTTCTGAACTTTAGTACCATGCCGCAGGTGTGGGTACTTTGCTCTCCCAGCTTTACTCCACCTGTTTTATTCTTCCTGGTTTTTGAGCTCCCTTTTCTGCATTGTCTTCTCCTCCCCACCCTCATTAGAATGTAAACTTCTTGAAGGCTTTTGCTTGCATTTGCATCTCCAGTGCTTTGAGCAATACCTAGCACATAGTAAGCACTTTAATGCTTGTTGCCTGCCTGCCAATTTCCCCTTGTATATTACACCTTTTTTTTTTTTTTTTTTTTTTTTGGTAAGGCAGTTGGGGTTAAGTGACTTGCCCAGAGTCACACAGCTAGTAAGTGTACTCTATCTACTATGCTACCTAGTTGTTCTCGTATTATGTCATACCTTTATTAGAAAAACTTGCTACAATAGTTTTTCTTAGTTAATTAGTCCCCTTCTCATTCTACTTGCATTGTTTGTGGAAAATAATTTACAATTTATGTAATCAAAATTATCCATGTTCATCTTCTGTGCTCCCCTCTATCCTTTATTTGGTAAAGAATTCACTTCCTATCCATAGTTGTGCAATAAATCCCTTTCACTTTTCCTAATTTATGATAGGATCTTTTATATCTAGGCTACATATCCATTTAGTATATGGTGTCAAATAATGACCTAAAACTAATTTCTGCCAGAGTACTTTCCAGTTTTCTCAACTTTTTGTTACTAGTGAACTCTTAGCCTAGTAGCTACTGTCCTTCTTTCTGTTACACTGCATTGAGTTGTTTCTCTATGTTGTCTGCCTAATCTGTTCCACTGATCAACCTTCTTGTTTTTTTAACCAAAACCAAATAGTTGTGATGATTACTACTTTGTGACGTAGATTGAGAACTGATGTTACTAAGCTCCCCTCTGTCCAACTTTTTTTTTTTTTACTCAAAATTCTTTTTGTTCTTCCAGAAGAATTTGTTATTCTGACTAGTTCTGTAAAGTAACCTTTTTTTGGGTAGTTTGGTTAGTTTAATAGTACTGAATCTGTAAATAGATTTATGTAGTTTTGTCATTTTTGTTACATTGGTATGACCCAACTATGAGTGATTAATATCTCTTTATTTAAGTATTTTTGTAAAGAGTATTTTGTGGTATTTATATAATTTCTCTGTGTGTCTCAGTAAATGCAGGCCCAGATATTTATACATTATATAATTATTTTGAATGTCATATTTATGTATGCTGTAGTTATTTTGAATGTGAATTCTTCATCTTTTCATACAGTTTAGATGGTAGTATACAGAAAGTTTGATTTGTGTGGGCTTGTTTTAATTAGTAATTTTTCAGTTTAGATTCTCCAAACCATCATTTTACCTGCAAAAAAAGCAATGATTGTATTTGTTCTTTGCTAAGATTTTGATTATCTCAATTTCTTTTTCTTATCTTTTTGCTATAGCTAGCATTTCAAGATGTTTGTCTAAGACAATTTCTCTTCAGACATTATCATCCTCTTTCATCTTATCACACCTCTCCCTTCTACCTACAACCCCTGAACTAGGAAGGATAATCAAATTAACACTACCCCATTCACTTGACTGCCCTGTTATTCTACTTGTCGCCAACTCCCCGCTCCCTTTCCCCCCACATACATATGTATTTTTATTTTTTGGCTTTGTTCTTTAAAATGTGACTTCTTTTGAGAGTAGAGATTGGTTTTGTATTTTCATCCCAACACTTAGCATAGTGCCTTGCCCATAGTGCTTATTAAATATATTTTCCATTCATTTCAGTTTGTCTTTTCATTGTAGTACTTCAACATATTCTTTTTATTTCAGTTTTAAAAGATTGCTTGTGTGTGATGCTAAAGTCATATTTGGAGGTATCAAGTCCTTGTTCACCTTCTCTTCCCCTCTCCCATACCCCCCCACCCCCCGGAAGACTTTCCCCCAATTTTATAATGGAAGCCAACGGCAATCTTACTAGATTAACAGAAATTTACTTTGAAAACTGAATAGCATCAGGAGCACATTTTTGACAGTGAAGTCTACCAACTATCAAAATAATGTAGAAATTTTTCATATTTTTTTTCTGTCACCAGAAATTGAATTTCCTAGAATTGAGTGGGGAAATATATCTACTTAGAGCTCTCCTAAATAATTGAGCTACTACAGTTTGGTCACCGCTTCTGTAGGTTACCTGAAATCTTCATACCATCCAAGTTGTAAAGCCTATACATCTTTCATTTTACAGATGTGGAAGCAGAAGTCTAGAAAAAGTAGTAATTTATTGCAAGGTCAGATAGTACTATTCAATTCAAGAGCCATTTATTAGGTATGTGGGGAAGATAGGATATTTATATAACCATATCCCTTATCCTCATGAAAATTTAGTCTAATAGGGGATAGGTTACATTATATGTACACTAGTCAGGCCAAAGCCAAATTCTTTGTGTAAAGTCGCCCCATGAATTATTTATTCTTTTATTCTAATAAGCAGTTTTACAGAATTATACTTTAAGTTAGTCCAGCTCTTAGCACAGCAGTTGGTGTGTAGTAGTACTTATTATTTTTATTCCTTTTTAATCTTTTCTGTAGAAAAACACACCCATTTTTAAGACTTTCACACCCATCATTTCTGAAGACAAAATGGAACTGTTCACACTCTGATTTAGCTCACAATCTGGGTATTTTCCTCCTCCTGTTCCCACCGCTGCCACCACCTAATACTACTCCCCTACCCTCCAAATACCACCTTTATGCTCTCTTTTCTTAAACATATGCTACTTGGAGCTCAGAACTGTGTTATTCAGATATGCCACACTGAAAGATGTTTCATCATTGTCACCAATATATTGGAATAATTCTATGATTAGAGTGTGACCTATACAGACCTGTCATCTACACAAATTCATGGACTAGCTTCACTGGTCAGGATACCCCAACTCATAGTAGTGCTTAGTAAATGTTTGTTGTGCAGGTCCTCCAACTCAAGATAATGTAGTTTATCAGTGTAAATCCATTACTGCTGTTTGAAC